TCTCAGATACTCTCTAGCTCATCAGCTGTCAAAAGCATATGTGTTTGAAGAGCCTGGTGCTGCATGCTTGGAAAACAGAATGGTAGTTGTGGAGTACTGAGTAACTCCAGTCACTACAGAATTATTTTTTTTTAATTAACTCTCTCAAAGCATGTCCTATATGAGAATGGCAGTCAGCAGTCTCCTCCTAAATTACTTCTCCATGAAGGGAAGACAATCCCTTAAAATAGCAACATCACTGAATGCACACTCTTTTACACTGGTTTCCCCCTCTTGAGGGAAACTGCTGCAGCTGGAACCATTCAGAGTTCTCAGACTAAGTTTCATGGTGGCAGTGGGAGACTGTTCACATAGCCTCTTTTCTGCTCCAGGTAAAACTTCTGCTGCACCAAAGCATAATGTTGAGTATATGTGCCTGTTTTTTGGTCTGCCACTCCTAAAAAAAAATGGTACTCTAGAAATACACCTACCAGTGTAACTTTCATTGCAATCTTTAACTTTGAGACAGATGGTGGTAGTGCATCCTCTGCTACTTGGGTAGAGTGTTTTCAGGAGCATGCATCTTCAACAGTTTGCCTGCCTTCTTAGAGTTAGACTTAGCAAATATCTGATCAGATCCTGTCTTAGGCATTCTTCCCTGGAGGACTGTAGACTGAGAGATATATGTACTTGGGAAAACAAACAAACCAGAATTCAAGTTTGAGGAACCACTATGCAAATACCTGTTTAAATTTCTCTTGAGTGTTTTGACCTTTTTTGCCTGTTATTATGGAGGCTTTATAGTGTAGTATAAACAGAAGGGTTAACTTCAGAGTTAACCGAGATTTGGGTCTTCACAACAGCTAATTTTACTGAGGGTTTTAAGATTGCATTGCAAGGTGATATAGGCTTGAGATAAACAACCTGCAAATACTTTGCATTCTTTGAAACGGTGTTTACTAAGTATCCTAAAGAGCTTATGACTCCCCCTGCAGTGAAGAACGTCAAGTGAAATACCTTCTTGCTTTCTGTCCAAGATCTGTACTTAATTACTTTATCCAGGACATTCTAAATACGCTTTGCTTGTGCACTGCAATAAAGCCATGAATTGCCTCTCTTTTCATGAATGGGCCTGTCACAGTCCGGGTTGTGCTACCTCCCTGCTTGGCTGTGAGCAAGGTGGTACGCAGGTCAAACGTTACAGTATGGGAATTGCTGCTTAGATTTCAGACTTTGGTTTGTGCTGTGGCAGTTTATTTGGCCAGACTGAAAACTAGCTCGAAGGATGCTTTCAGGAAACTGCAAGCTTGCCTTTGATTATTTTTTTTTTATTTTTATTCCAGTTGTTATTCCTTGCTTCCATATTATAAAAAATAACCTCCAAAATCAAACAACAAATGTTTCTTGCATTTCTTCTCTGGAGGGGAAAAAAAAATGGCATTATTAATGCAGTTATCTAAGAAGGAAGAGAGATTTCAGTTTTGACCTCAGTTGAGGTGAAAGATGTCTCCAAGTATATGAACATCCGTCATTCCTGACTTGTGACTTGTCTTTGTCTTAACTTGTCATGTAAGCAGAAAAGAAACATTCTGCTTCTGGTTTGATTTTTGATGGTTTTATTCCTCTTTTCAGACTTTGCAGTAGCCAGTTCTTACTCCTCTTCTGTAGCTACATTCTCAGAGGAAAACCCAGGCACATCAATGCTTTATGCATTTATCTTCTGAATTAAGGTAGCTGTGCCTGGAGTTAAGTTTTGCTCTGGCTGGCTTGATATTCGGTAGGTAAAAAAGTCTTGGAGTTTCTTCAGGGCTGGAGCAGTATTTTTGTATGTCTTTTTCTTCAATAGCTTGTATCTACTTTCATGCCTTTTTCCATGCTCCAGTGAAAGCAGGAATTATGAACTATCAGAAATATCCCAAGCAGTTGTTTTAGCTGTCCATTTATCTTACGGGCCTGTGCTGCTGAGATCACACTACTATATGCTGTAAAACCAGTTTGTATCATGAATATATTGAGTTAATGTGTTTGCAGTTGACTGGGTAAGCAGCAATACCTCTAGCAACTGACCTAATACAGCAAGAGAGAATGTTCTTTTCCTGAGGGCTGAAAATGAAACTTAATCTGCCTGGAGTGGAGAGACCACAGTGGTGACAGCTGCATTTATTGGTCTTAGGAAACTGAAGATGCTGCTCTAGATCATCTGTGCAAAAACTTAACCACCTTCATACTGTTAGCCTTTGTTAAGGGAAAAGATTAAGTCTTACAAACCCATGAAAATTATATTTAATTCCAAGGTATTCAATCCATTACCTGATCTATAATTTTCACACTGGGCTTTGTGCTCCAGGACTGCCCTTCACACTTGAGTCTCGTAAATTCTTGTGAATTGGAACTCTGCACCTGCTCATTTTGTGGTTCAGTGGAAATAATATGCTGTGGATGGCACTAAAAGCATGCAGTAGCAGTGGCAAGAATAAAGGATTAAGTGCATTATATTGACTGTAGGAATGTATGTTCTGGGCCTCCAGATCCTTTCTAAAGAGACAATTTTTAGTGCTGTTTCTTTCTTTCCTGAAGGGATGTGTGAACAATGGTCTGCAGAAATAGGGAAGAATATCTGTCTTCAGCCCTGACTCGAAATATTCTTCTAGTCTGATGCAAGAAGCAGAAAAGATTCCTCAAGATAGATCAGAAACATGTTTATGACTGTAATAAGTGTTGGTTTTGAGTAAGAAAAAACCAATGCTCTTACTGTTGCTTTCATCTTCTACAGGCAATTTTGATGACTTCAAATTAGAAGATGCATTTGGTAGTCCTGTGAAGTCCAGTGTGGTTGTACATACTAATTTGAGAGCCTGAATATTTTGATTTAGAGGCACAAAAAATTGTGATATTTCTGTAAAAAAAAAAAAAAAAAAAAAAGGCAGCTCCCTAATAGCGAAGGTATTTCTGCATTTTGGAGTCTTCTGCTAGTGCTTTCACAAATTTACTTTGTGATTTCACAAGCTTAAAGGCCCCGTGAGAATACCTTCTGTTGGCTTTCAGTCTGTATGTTTTGAGCTTGCTCTCACATGGCCCTTGACATGTACCGTGATCACCAAAATCAGCACCTAGTTTGGGAGATAATGCCTGGTAACAGTGTAGTGCTTCTCTGTGGGCCACTGTTGAATGAGCATGTGATTATATTCTTGGTGAAAACATTGTGAGGTGCATTTTGTGTTAAAATAGTCTGAAGTAGTTCAGTTTTTAAATTACATTTAAAACTTCCCTTCTTTCTTTGTAGATGATTTCAGTTTGGAAGACTCTGGTAAGTGTCATGTTTTCCTGGATACTGCTCAGTACTTGGTACTTGGTGCAGTGTCGATCTGTCTTTTATAACCTAAATGTAATAAGGAGTTGATTAAGGTAACAGACTGTAGATAAAAATAATTGCAGTCTAGTTGTGTTTATTTACCTTCACTTTTAAGGGTCTGCATCACCAGATCTATATGTACTTCTTAGCCAAGTACTGCTTGTTTCATTGCTATGTCTTCACTAGATGGCACTAATTCCGTAAACTATTACTTATGGAATTAGTTTTTAAATCTGAAGTAATCTCTTCCTTTCCAGGAACTAATTTTAGTAGTACAAGGAAACATGAACCTATAGTATGAGGGAAGGTACTTTTTCTAATATGCTTAAGCTCTGCAGTGTGGGCAGCAGTAGAGATGTCAGTGTTGTTGTCACTCAGCCGGTAAAACGTGCATCCAGTTAGGCAGATAATGCACAGTAGCTTGTCAAGTACCATCACTAGACCTGTTGCAATATAGACAACTTTCCTAACACAGGGCATATATTTGTAGGACAGCAGCACTGTTTGGTGCTCTGTCTGATTTAGCCCTTTGAAGTTTTGTCTCTTAAAGCAGTCTGTTTCCAACCGTTGTAATTTTTGGAAACGATTGGCTGAGTGAGAAACAGTTGGCTGAATGAATCAGATGGTTCAAGTAAGTGAAGAGAGAGGATCCTTTATAGGATGGCAAGCCTAAGTTGGGGTCTTAGAACTGTTCTCTAGGTATGCCTGCCTCTTAGAATATGCAGAGAGCCTAAGGAGACCTCATCTGACTTGTGCCTAGAGCTGGGAGGAGGCAAGACCATGCAATGTCAAGGAGAAGTAGCATTCAGAAGAAATGGGCTGCTAGATTGGTTAAGCTGTTGGTGAAAACAGTTTTAGAAACCCACTCGTGGTGTGTTATTTGATGTCAGCAACAGTCTGTAACCAAACCATACAGAGATAATTACTAAGATCTCTTATTCTCCTATTTTGTGGCAAGCTAAATGAAATGTCATTGTGGGGACTATGTTTCCACTGCTATTATGTGTATCTTTTTAAAAATTATTTAATTTTTATTTTTTATTAAATGAAGTACCAAGCTCTGTTATTGATTAAAATCTGGTAGTTCTAAAAGAGGAAACAGCCAACTAATCTGTACCTAGTAGGAAAATTTAAAGTTCACCATTTGAAATCAGATGTGCAAACTGAAATGCTGTGTAACGTTTAGTGAGTTCTTCTGTATATGTTCAGTTATAGCAAGGGTCTGATATACAGGCTAATGTGACAGAAAAAATGTTAATTGCATTGAAGTACAGGGTTTGACATAAAATAATGAAACAAATGCAGGATTAGCTAATGAAAGGAAAGGAAAATGACGCAGGGAAGATTTGATACTATTTTTTAGGTCAGATAGTCTTTCAAGGTTACTGTATGTTCTGCATTTTGTCTCTTCATACTAATAACTTTGTTCACTTTATTCTAACTACATTTGACTACAGATGACTCCAAGCCAACTCAGCCTGCAAATCGTAAAGACACTGGTAAGACTGACCTAACAGGAATTTCTGAACAGTAGAAAAGTATTTGTTAATCTTTTGTTAATCTAAAATTTGTTGATTTGTTAATCCTTTTCAAAGTTACTGCATTGTAGTCTGCTTTTGATATCTTAATAGTTTTGGTTTTTTGTCCTAAATCTCTCTGTTGTGCATAGATAAACCCACACGAGGTCCACCTGTGCGTCCTAAAGACTCCGGTAAGGCTTCGAGCACAAACTCCTGAGTTGTAACATGGTTTTACTGCCTCAGTTTAACTTCTCATAATAACTCCTTGTTAACTGGCTGCTGTCTATGTCAGATGTTGCACTGAATAAACACTGAGGATTGAGGAAAACTTGTCTTGCAAATAAGCTTTGCAGCAGTCTTGAAATTCCATAACAAGCCTGTTGAGTCACTTTCCTTTTGCTTAAAAGTGGAATGGTATGGGGAGGTGGAAGGATGGGACAGTGTGGGTGCTTGGGGCAATGCTGTTCTTGGCTGCCTGTGGTGGAGCACCTGTGTACTGGATTGAGTCCTTTCATCTTTACTAATCGAATCCCTACTAGTTGTGCTAAAAGTAAGTAGGAACTACCTGTGATCTGTGTTCTTAAAGCATCCAAATTAAAAGTGAAGCTCAAACTTGAAGGGTTATTTTATTTTAGGTTTTTTTTTTTTTTAAGGCTCAGTTAAGAAATACAGTTCTTCTGTGTTTGAAAAGTAGGCTTAAAATACAAGTCCTTCCCTTTCTGTTGTGCTCAAGAGGTCTTCTGTCTTTACCTAACTCAGAGCAAAACATACTCAGATAGGTGTATCTATGATGATGCCATTGTCCATGAATATGGCATAAAGAGTCCTTTTCTGGAATGCAGTCCCTGGTTCTTGTCCCCTCTCCTGCTTGATTTGCAGCAGAAAGTCGAATTCAAGTCTTGCATTCTTCAGTACTGTGCTTTTACCACCTGACTAAAACAGCCTCTGATGCAGTTATTTTAGCTTTGCTGCTTGAAACACATTTGCTCTGCATACACTAAAGATTCATTTGGCGGTAGAGGGAAGGAGAACTCAGGCCCTATGAGGTAGGGTCTAGTAGAAATGGAGAGGGACTGGTTCAGTGTCCTGCAAAAAATCAGAGGAGGGAATTACATTTGGGTCTTCCCATTGTCATGCAAATTATGCAGCCACTGGATTGCGGCATGTTAAAATATATTTATTTCTTTTTCCCCTCTAACTACTGTGTTGTACACATTCAAAAGACTGGTTGTGACTTAGAAGCACAGCTCTGAGGAAACACTGACAACTGCAGCCTTGAAAAGAAATGGTCCTTTCCTGTCCATGTCCTTCCTCTGCTTTAATAGGATAGTGAGACTTGGGCTTTTCCAGTTAAGTAGCTTACAGGGCTTCTTGCTTGCTTAGCCTGAGTTGTGCAGTATTACCTGCTCTTGGACACTGATTTCTTTTAGTTGTTCAGGAAATCCAGAAGCAGCAGTGCTGCTATCAAACCATATAGTGCTGAGCTGAAGGGATGTGAGATTGGGAGAGCTTTTGAAATGTGAACATAGTGGTGACTACGACACTGAGTCTCAAACCACCATAAATTCAGCTGAACGATCTAGAGAAAACTTCCATGTGCCTTGTTGTGTCTTTTAACTGAACTTCAAACATGTAAGATAATATTATTTTTGTTTTCCATAGACTTCAAAGATTCAGATCTACATGATGGCAGTTTACCAAAAGGAGGAGGCGGTGATAGTGGTGGCAATGGTAAGACTGAAGGTTGTGCTTTATATTGATCCTATGACTACTCGAACTTTTGAAAAAAGCTTGCTCGCAAGCTGGTTAACATGGTCCAATTTGTAATACCTTTTGGTTCTGATTTCTGAAACTTGAGAGTATACCTTACAGTTCAAAAGCAATGTGTTCTGCCTTTGCCAAACCCCCCAGATAATTAAATGGTAAAACTGGTCTAGAGGTAAAACCTTCCATGATTTTTACTGTTATGCTAAGAAAGAAGAGGTTTAAAACTGAGATGTGAATGTGGTGCTTATTTCAAAATTCACTGTGAATATAGTTCTTAAAGGCATCCAGGTACCACTTGCAGATCTTCTGTGACATCCTCTCAGTTTTTTTTGATTCTTGTGGTTAGGAAGCCCAGGGGTGGGCCAGAAGAGGGTCTGCCTTGTGTTCTCAAGGATTTTATCTGTCCCGCAGGATGAATTGATCCTTAGCCTTCCAAGTGTTGTAATGTATATCTACTCTGAACAGTATAAAACCATTTCATAGCTTACCAAACTCTTCCTTGAGTAATCTGCCGTACCTGATTGTTACAGTACAGCTTAGTACACAGATGGCCACTGGGACCAAACTGCAGTAATGGTCATCATTAGGATGAGGTTAGTCGTCCTTATGTGCATTACTGCAACTTTAGTATCTCCAGATCAGAGTTAGCTTAAGTATCTTGATGTGGTGTTGAGGTGTGCCGCTGGTTACTGACTTCTTCAGAGAGTTGTCGTAGAGATTACTGATGTTAATTTTTTTGGAAGCTTTCACCTTCCAAGGTTCCTTTGGGGCAGAAATTGAAAATTGGCAGGGGCAAGAAGCATCTGTTCAGACTTGTGTGGTGTTTTCATCTGCACAGATTCTTCCTTCAGTGGTATGAGTTGCACAATGACAAATAAGGATAGTATTTCCAGAACTTCTGTCTTCTTTGATAAGAGACTTGTAAAGGTATTTAGTAAATGAGTCTGGGATTTTTAGGGGAAGATAGTTGGTTCCATGGAAATACAGTTGAATGCTGCCCTGAAATCGTATGCTGTTCCTCTCCCCTGAGTATTCTGTGGTGGTGGGCAAGTTGATTAAACCACATTTCATGAGTATGCTGCATTCATTTAGTTGAAGTATTGGGTAACCAAGGCTGAAGTTGGCACCACCATGAGCTGTGCTTTGAAATAGAAAGCCAGAGTTTAGCACTGTATGGATATAATAGATGGCTTGTAATTTTGCATAATTAATTGACAAAAAGATTGTCAACGGTGCTGTGACTGTTCTTTGTACGTGTAAAATCTAAACCTTTTTTTTATTTTTACAGAACGAAAGGGCCCAAGTCCAAATAATGGTGAAGAAGCTGATGGTAAATGCAGAAATTTATGTGTATGCATGTCTGAAAACCCCCCATTTTTCTGGGGTTTTCTGTATTGCTAATATTCTGCTAGAATGGTCACTGCTGGTAGTGCGTTTCATCTTAAAAACTTCTGTGGCATCTAGGATTGTTACTTTCAAGCTCTTCTTTCATAATTCTTTAAAATCTCTGTTGCAAATGATTCGGAAGTGTTAAGGAGATGCTGGTACAGTGATTGCATGCATGCAGCTTAGAGTTGGCAATGAACAAGTAGCTTTTTCAGTTAATGGAACTTAAAACAGGCATGCTTAAGTTGCTTAACAGTAGGCATTGCTAACTAATCAGTGGTTATAAAATTAGGATTCACTTTTCATTATTCACAAAGACAAAGTATGATTACTATGGTTTAATATAATAATTTCAGTTTATTGGTTTTTTGGAAGTGTTCACAGGGAGACATTGCTTTCGATTCTGAAAAATATATACAATATATATGTTTTGGTTTGGTTTCTTTCAGCTTCTCAGGGAGCAATAGCTGGAATTGTAAGTGCTGTGGTTGCTACTGTAATTGGAGCAGTATCTAGTTTCATTGCTTACCAGAAGAAGAAACTCTGTTTCAAACAAAGTGGTAAGAATTCTATATTAGTTTTGTTTTCTACCGTCTAAAGAAATAAGGTTTTGTATTTAGATGGGAGCTAGAAATTGATCTTATACATAAGGTAGTTTTAATGCATGGTGAATTTGTTTTCATAGGGAATAACCTTTCTTACTAATAATCTAAGGCAGGGAGTCTGAAGAATGCCTTGCCCAAAATTGAGACTTCCAGAAGCAGACAGACTTCAGGCTCTGCATTTCTTAAAATGAAACTACTTCCTGCTAAATAGTAAGCAGGAGAGACTGCAAGAAAACATTTCTTTAAGAAAAATTGAGGGGAGGCTGAGGATTAGAGACTACTTTAATGCTGCGAAATACTTTATCATTTCTAATTCTGAAAATCTTGCCTTTGTGTTTTCACAAGATACTTGCCTACATATCAGTTTTCTGACAACTACCTGATATTCTTCCCCAAATGGTTCTTTCTTCTGCAGTCATCTGTTGCTTGCTATCTGCTTCCTTTCCACCTAAATAAGATATAACTTGGATCGGGGAACTTTGGGAGTACTGTGGTGATAGGTGGGGCAGAAGCTCTGTTTTAGTCCATTTTAATCTACCCGACTGGTTGGTGAAGAGTGGTCATAGAGCAGTCATCCAGCCAGTCACTGCAGTTTCATAATTTGGGAAGTTTAGAAGCATCTACCATGCATGTTAAAATGAATTAAAATGGCACAACACAAAGGCAACTTAACTGCTGTCAGCAGCTCAGTTTCTTGGGTGCTGTTTCTTCTCTCAAATTATTTCTATTAATTATTTCTTTTTAATCAACAACTTGAACGATAAGACAATTTGAATGATAAACATCTTGTTTGTTTCCCAACAGATGAAGAGAATGTGAATATGGAAAGCCATCGGGGAGCACAATCTGAGCCACCTGGTAAGAGAAGAATCTAGATGGAAGATCAACTCTTTGATGGAGATCCTATTGAACACACTTTATTGATATCTAACATAGTGGAGAAAATTACTTAAGCTGTTTTGGTTTTGTTTGTGGCTACCATGACAAGTAACTTAGAACTGAATCAAGATTTCACTCCTGGTAATATGGCCACTCTTCTCTAGTTTGTTGTTCTTTGAACAGATGGGTTTATTGTCTTGAGGAGTCCTTGAAATATAGGAATTTAGAGAAAGTGAAGAATTGAATTTTCTCTGCAAAAGTGTTATTAAATACAATTATGAGTATGCAAACCTGCTCCTTTAATGTGATCCATAACTGCAGTTGACTGACAGGTGCTTTATTCATGTGTGTTGTGTCTGTTGGAATTGGATACCTTTTTTGATTGTAAATCCATATAGAACTCTTCAAGAATGTATATTAAAAATGTTAATAGTGTTTGGGCAGAGGTGCAACTACACTGGAGGCAAGGAGGACTGAACTTAATAGCGTATTGTTGTAAATAGAACATTCTTCCGTGGTCTTAATCAAAACCCAACAGAACTAGTTCTGATTTTCTATACCAAAAAAAAAAAATACACCTTATTTCTTTCAGGTGTTTCATCAGTTTGCTAAAAAATTCCATCTGGTTTGTAATCCTCTTTATAAATGTTTTTTCTTTAAGCTATTAAATATATAAAACTCTCAAGGAGAAAGCATTTTCTTGTGACTGGTTGTAGAAGTCAGGACTGGAGATAGACAGGTATCCTCAATTCAGCTAAGCATTAGTGAAGGAAGCAGTGCTATTGAAAGACCTCTACCACATGCAGTTAACATATGAGTCAGAGCTCAGAGGTGCTAAAAATTTGGCTAAGATTCACTAGAACTCAGATGTGAAATGCATCAGATGATGCATACTTCATTTTAATTGATAAAGTTGGGATGTTACCATGAAGGATTACTCCTGCTTATATATTGATGTCATGTTACATCCCAAGTTTCATGCCTCTGTTAAATTTTGCAGGCAAGCATGAGCATGTTTTGAACCAAGAAACTGGGCAACCATGGTCAGCATGGTGCTACTCCTGACCTGAGTTCTGGGAGTCAGCAGTCATTAGCTCTGCTTTTGGTAATTGTGTAAGAGTGTTGATGTACCTGTGTGGCTTCTAGTTAGAAGCAGTCTTGCCTTAAGTCAGGTCAGATGGCATGGCAGAAGAGGTTTGCATTTGTAGGCTTGGCTTTGACTTCCTGAAAATGTGGGTAACTCAGCCTAGCACTTCTGTTCAGTAATCCACTTTTTCTACCAGTTACACGGACTGTACTCCATCTCATTTTTTGAATCTACAAAACTCTGCACGTTAGGTTATGCTGCAAGTGTAGATAGCTGCATCGATCTAGTAGGGTGTGATTATTTGACTGAGAAATCTGGGATGAATACGCCTTGGTATGCAGGGTACTGGCTTCACAGCATCAAGCCTCTGCTTACCTGAATTTATCCCCCAGTTTCAAATGCCTACTCAAAAAATCTGTTGTCCATATATACTGTTACATAGTAATACATAACTTAGAATGGCTTAGTGTGCTAATCTTGGGTTGTTTCTCACTTTCTAGTTCAGCGCACACTTCTGGAGAACTGAATTAAAGAAAACGTGATGAAAAAACAGATCATTGAAACTGGATAGAGAGTCTGCATTCTGCCGGGGGGGGAGGGGGAAAGGAAACAAAAAAAGCATAATGTAAACAGCAGAGTCTGAAGTTGCATGAGAAAACAGTTCTTGTTTGAAACACCTCTGGGAGTTTGCCTTAGACCTGAGCACTTCTGTATGGTTAGCCCTGTGAAGCATTGTTGCACACCAATATATGGCCTTAATGACAGGAGTGTGAAGTATGTTGTGCCTTTACATTCTTTACTCCTGTGACAAATGGGTGTGTCTAAAGTGCATTCAGTATGTTTAACTTTTCCGTACCTCTCCAAAGAAAAGGCAAGTAATGTTTTGTTATGCCATTGCTTTCAGGCAGTGCAAATTGGTTTTTTAATATCCTGTACGCAGTGAGTGTACCAACCAAACAACCTGGCGTATGTTGTGAGCACGTGAAAGCAAATGGCTCGCTGTGTAGGGATAATGAATCTGGGTGTGGGTGCTGCTGGTTCAATCCATGTAACTGCCTGGGTCACCCACCAGGGAAGGAAGAGATAATTGTTCTTGAGCATCCAAGAGACAAAAATTCAGTTTTGTTTTTGCCCTTTTTTGTTTGTTTATTTGGGGGTTGTTGTTTGGGTTTTGGGTTGGTTTTTTTTTTGTTGTTGTTGCATCTGTCTGGTACAGATTCAGAACACTCAAACCAGTGCACAGAGACCCTTCATCCTTTCTGGCTCCTCCTGCTTAGCAAGTACTGAGCTGATCAGATGTGGAAAAGCCTGATCTGCAAATCAGAGCCATAATTGGATTTTATATATCTGGTGAGACTGGTGTTTGGCAGTTGTCTAAACAGTTGTGGATCAAGTATTAGGGGGTGGGGATTGACATCTTCAGGCTTCCATAACGAAAAATTTAACAGAAAATTCTGAAGGCTTATCATCCACCCTTAAAAGAGAGAAACAGCGCTACTCTTCAAAAGTACTGGAATGCAAGACTGACCAGAACAACCCAGCCTCACCCCACAAGCATCCATTGAACAGTATAAATAGCATACATGTGAAGAATGCTTTTGGACTTGTGAAGGATTGCCATCAGGACCTATGACTGCATCCTCACCTGCAAGCGCTAGTGGCCTTTGCTCTTGAAAGCCACAGGAAGGTTTCAGAGATCTGTGGAAACATGGAAAACTGCAGCTCATAACAGTTAAAGGACTTAGTCTGGAATAGTAACTAGTTCTGTCTGGAAGGTATAGCCTGACCAGTTCTGTTGGCTTTCATTCTAATTGTTTCCAATTTTCTTGCAGTTTTACAATATGTGTCTTACTAATGTGCTTCAGCCACCTGGCCAAAGGGTTCTACAGAAAGATGACATTTTACAGAACATCTTAGAAGTCATGAATTTGGATATTAAACATGTAAATATGTCTGTGCATTCAAATATGAATGTATGCCAAGAATAATTCATTTAAGAATTTCTTGTACATGTTTCACAGCTTGCAACAAAGCTTTACACAGATTTTAGTATTTTGTTACGGAATTAATTTGCGAACCTCTTTTTGCTCCACGTCTGCTTTTAGTATAAAAGAACTAAAACTTTTACGTGTGTGGAAAAATGATTTTTATATAAACATTTGATCTATGTAAATACAAAGAAATGAAATGTACTGCTTACCTACATGAATAAACAGGTATCTTTTATCAATGCCAAGTATAGAGAAAAAAGAAATAAGCCAGTGTTCATTAAAAATGGTGGGGAAAGCTCAAACTAGCTTTTAGCTAACCAGACTCTTGAATCCTTCTTCAGCTTTGCAAGCCTAAAATTACTTATTAAAAAAACCTCCTATCAACATTGTGACTTTTCTAAAAATAAATATATAAAAAAGAAAATGTTTATGTATTTTCCTTCTTAGCAACTCTAAAAATACAAGGTACAGACATTACTCCCCCTCCTTCTGCACTGACTTCTGCACAGTCTGCAGAGGTGTTTCTCTCACATATTCTCACTTTTCTCTTGGTACAGTTGCTGTTGTGCAGCAACTTTTCCCCCTTCTTAAATACATTATCCAAGAGGTGCTGCCAGCATCACTGATGGGCTCAGCCTTGGCCAGCAGCGGGTCCCTATTGGAGCTGGCTGGTGTTGGCTCTGTTGGACACAGGGGAAGCTTCTGGCAGCTTCTCAAATAAACCACCCGTGTAGCCCCTCCATTACACAAACCTGGTCATGCAAACCCAATACAAAAGAAAAGATTAAAGAGAAGGCTTGGAATTCCAGGCTGTCCAGCTCAAAATTTTTGGGTTTCTGTTTCTTATCTGTGGATAAAACGTTCACGTATTTTTCAGTTATCAGGGTATTCAGGGGTACATTGCCGTTTGCCTCAGTACCCATTGAGACTTTGATCTGTTCCTTTCTAACTCAACTGCCCTTGCATAGCTTAACTAAATTTCCTAATTCATTATTTCTCACATTCATTTGGTCAAGAAAAAATATCAGTTAACAGTTATCAGTCTATTGAAGTATTTTTATGATAATCCCCCACAGATCAGCTGCCTTAACAGGCTGTCAGCGACACTCAGGTCCCAATTTGGGAATTAATGTTCCAGTTTCCATACAGGTGTTGATCAGACCATGCAGTGGCATGAAAGAATACTGTACTTTCTAGGCCCTTTCTAGGCAAGTGCAAGTTTGCTCCTGGTGAAGTACCTTCACCATTAATCTGAGTTCAAATGGATGACAACAAAGAGCCATGTCCTGTCCCTGTAGCACACCCTCTTCAGTTCTGTTTTTTATTCCAGTCTTCCTCCCTTAAGGAGGAGGAATTGCCTTCAGTAGCAGGAGGAAAAGTGAAGCAGGATCTTCTGGTAGAATATCATGTCACTTCAGCTTCTGCTGTGGTGGCAGTTTAGTTCATCCTAAGCACCAGTGAAAAGGACTGCTTGGAAAATGTTTTGATGGTTTTTAAATGTGATGTCCATGTCTAATATTTATCCAAACTTACCCAAATTAATTCACTGGGCTGTGGAAATGAAAGTACGCGATTCTTAGGCATAAGATTTAGCAGCTTTTTACTGTAGCTCCTACTTGTGCTCATTCTCATATCTGTGCCAAATTCTGAATGCTGAAGAAAACTTTC